GAGTTGCTTTATTAGTTGAATAAATTTGTAGGCAACTCTTAATCCGTGTATGTCAGATGATTGTGGATACATCTCTCCAAAATGCAATCGTGATAATGTTTATGAAACTGTACGGAACGTTGAAAAAGTTTCACTGTCGATGGTTTTTGTATTTCGAGTCATTTTTTTTTCGGAATATACTTCAACGTACATTGACAAACAAGTGAAACAAATCAGAGTCTAGACCATAGAACACTGTTGAGTAGCCAAAGCTATTGAGTGATTGTATATAGATCATGATCATTTCCACTATTCAATGTAATATAGCCTACCAGCCGCAGCTCATTAATTATAAATTGATCGTCGCAAATACAGGAGCATAAGCGAGTAGTCTGAACGAGATCAGTTTTTAAATTGTTCCTAGTGCATGGTTCATAGTTCATAGTACTTGAGGGGTACAATATAAAAGGGGAAAATGGAATGGTCTACAAAAAATGGATTTAAATCCAATGTCACTTTTGGAACAGTCTCCACCTAAGTGATAATGAATTTTTTTTCTAAAAAAAAAAAAGGGGGTGGACGACATTTTAAAATTTCTCACGCAGGCGGCCACAACCCTCGCGGCGGTCCTGATCATAGGCGTATCTCTATTTTTTGTCTTAATCTTGAGATGATCAAAACAAAACACTTATTAATACTCTCGTTTCTACATTGTTCACATATCTTCTAGACTCTAGACTCTAGAAATGATTTTAGATGGAAAAGTAAAAAAAATAATAGATCGAAACATCGATTCGAGGAAAATTAGGACCACACTAGTACCTCTTGGCATGATTTAAGGTATAGTGGTCTAGAGGATAAGTACACTTTAACTTGACTTGTCTTGTCTTGGCTACCTATGTAGGAGGCTCTAGGTTCGACACCCGACTCGGGCAGAGTTGTGTTTACTGAGCGTCTAAAGGCAGCACGGAAAACCTACTCTCAGATACCCCCCAACTGGTCCTCAAATGAGATTGGACCATAGCGCTCTGAGCATGGAAGTAGCGCTATATAAAAGCGAAAATTATTATTAATTATTATTATAACCAGTGGTAGACGTCCTCTAGTTTGAAAAGCACTTCACTGTCTCTTTGATGTTCTGTAAAATGTTTAACATGTTCCTTCAGATTGAATGATAATTACATACTAAACCAAACCTCCCGTAGGACGACGGGGATGGTAGAGTTCGAACCCGGGAACATCGATACCAACGCATACCACACGACTAAGGGGAGGGATAAGGCGGTTTGCTTTAGCCTCGTTGGCGTATTTTCAAGTAAAAGATGTTAATAAACTGTAATGTACACTGGTCAAAATTATAAGGGTATCTATCTAAAGATTTATGATAGTTGTCTAGAAGATTAAAAAAAAGGTGTGCAAGACTTGTGCTACGAATGAAAATGAAAATATTTTTACCACTACAACAAAATCGTAAAACAATTCACTACACTAAACTTTTCTTTAATGACTTAGGGGGCGGGGGGGGGGGGCAATGTTTTTTTGTTCCCCATGAAGTGTCTGCACCCTAAAAGAACAAAGAGAACCACAGAGATAGCTATAGATAAGTAATATCAGTCTGCAGAGTACCTAAAGCATTAACTGAGTTTGACGTCAATGATGCAAGAAAACTATGTAGATATACTTGAGTTTTGGGCCATTGGCACAATTTAGGCCATGTCGTGGAACTGTATAGAAAATAGTAAAATAGAATAGAAATACGTTTAAAAAAAATATATAACTCCTACTTTATAAAGTTGTTGACTGCTTCGATAGATTGAATATATTACTCTTAATAATTAATGAAAGATAAATGGAAGATGTTCTACCCTGCTCCAATCCCCCCTTCACAAGAACAAAAGTCCTGGTTGAGCTTATGTATAAATGTACTAGAAATAGGTGTATAAAATATTCTTATAATAGACCTATATATCTAGATTAGAAGACCGTGAGCAATATGTTCCAGGAGTCTATAAATTAAAAAAAATTATATCATCAATAGGGCCTCCCTTTGAAATACCCACATGTGTTGTCAGTTCAAGATAAAAATGTTCTAGTCCTTGAACCAAATTTTTTATATTGAAAAATTATGACGGTCAACATCCTAGTGTGTCCGAATAGTTAGTATCTCTTTTCCCAAAGATATAACCAACGTACGAATTTCTAGAAATATCGTTAGAGCCATTTTTGAGAACCGTGACCAACCACCCACCCAGTGCCCATGAATTTGTAAACTGTAAAGAGAACTTGTAAAAAATATTCCTCCTCCCAACATGAACAAGTTAACGTATTTAAAAAAGACGCTGAAGGTATTTTTTTTTTAAATGCTGACCTATAAACATTTCAAAATGTATTGTTTAGACATCTAATTTTCACAAAGTGTCATGTTCAAGTGTCGACAGTCAATTAAAGTTTTGCTAGTTATTTTTTTTTTAAGTAACAGAGAAATGCTTCAAATGAAAATGATTTCTACAAATGTAGTTACTAAATTTTACACCGCCACTTGGCTTGGTACTACAGCATACCACTAAAAGAAATGCGTACAGTGTAATTATAGTATGCTAAACCCAGCATGCTGAAAACTCCCGGAAATAGATGGACACAGAAAACAGAAATCCAAAATAACTTTCTAAATTTAAAACAAATTATATGACAAGATTTCAAATGACATAAATTCAGCCAAGTGAATCACAGAGTAATAAAAGCTTCAAAAGAGCCTCAATACTAACAGAAATCCATTGACATAGTGCAGTGGCGTAGCTAGGGATTTGCCATCAGTAAGGGGCACCGAGGGCTTGACCTCTGAAGGAGCCCCTGAATTTTGACATTCGACATTATGTCATGAGATATTACGGAAATATTCAATATTTGATATAAAAAAAAATTCGAAAACTCGTTTGTGGGTCCCATCAATTGGGGCTGGGGATATTTTCAAATTATATTCCCCCATTTCCCCAAGATAGCTACGCCACTGATTTAGTGCAGTGACTGGCTTGCAGATGCCAGTATGGGCACACGATGCCCTGCACTATGTCTAAGTAAATATGTTGAGAATGTAACGATGCAGACGCAAACCATAGACGGAATCATCAGCTCGTATTAAACATGATTGACTGAGCACTGTTGTAATAATTTGATTACTTTTCAGCTGTGTCGCATAATATACATTTTTTAGGATGTAGATCTATCTCTTATTTGGATTTGCTTTAGCGAACAATATGGCTGGGTTGCTTTGAGACTTTTCTTGTAAACTCAAGACCAATTGACTGTAAAAAAATACTGTGGCCTGATTCTAAGGGAAATAACAACTCAAATAATCAGTTGTAAAAGCTTGAGTGGGGATTGCTTCCCTTGTATAAGTTATTGAATAATAAAATAAGCCTTAAAGCTCTTTAAATGGAAGTTTCGTGTAAGTGTTGTTTTCTTGATTACAGTTTGTTTTCCTTACATACAATTTCTTACAATGTGTTGAGATTGTTAATGTTATAAGCTTAAACCAAAAAAAGCAAAATTACAAGGACAGTTTGTGTGGAAACACAAAACTCAAAATCGGCCTGGTACATCCAGGCAGGTAAAATGGCAGGTTTCAATATTTTCAGAAAGAATATCAGAATGAAATTCTATCAAAGGCAAATGACATAGAAGAAGGAGAAAGAAGGTTGACAGATCTTGCGTGGTGCCCAAACGGTCCAGCAGACCAAGAGAATGGTAAAGTTAGATGTGAACCTGGCCTAACTGATGTCTTATAATAATGATCTAATTGTTTTGTAAAGGGTCAATCTCTTAATCAAAGACTCAAAAAAAAAAAAAAGAAAAAGAAAAAAAAAATTCCTTTAGTTTTGTGTTCCATGGTAGAGGCGAAGGACTGCATTTCACACAATAATATGAAAAACTATGTATTAATTGTTTTTTAAAGTTATGTTCCACTTCGATGCATACTAAATAGATCCTATCTACTTACAATACAAAGTAAAATGTTCGAGCGTTGGTGGTAGATAGTAGAGTATATGTTACAGCGGAGCTAGTGAAATTGAAATTTTGATTAAAGTCTAAAACCGTTTGCATAAATGTGTTTAAAATATGGTATACTCAATTAGTAAATAGCCTCCCACGTTTATTACTATTAATAATGAATAGTTGTACTTTTTTTAAACTGCTTGCATACTTGATTTTAAACAATCTGAGCCTGTAATATTAAAATTCCAAAATATCACTATAATTGCAACCTGTAATTAATATACTGAAGTAATACATGGGTATATTCTTGATACCCTCCCTTAGATTTAGTCTCATGTTATAATTATATCTTCTCATTACATTCTTACTTTTTGTCTGTCTCCTATAGGATCCTTTGCCAAAATCTATTTTACAAAGGATTGCTAAAAAAAAAAATTCAAGACATAATATTAGAAAAGCAAAAAATATATAAAATACTTATCCTCTTGTGGCCTTATGGGTCTTTGGCTCTTCAATCTTGCCATTGCAACTCTTTATGCGACTAAAAAGGTTATTCCTTGATAGTAGGTTGCTGTCACAGACTATGCATATTTAATCACCAGGTGCTGTTGTATTTTCAGCCTTCTTATCTGCAATCCTGGACTCTTCATTTATGCTCCTCATTGCTTGTTCTCCATGTGAATCTATCCAGCGCCACTCTATAAAAGGTGCTGATTTAGACAAACAGACAAATATGAAATTAATGTATTGCGTATATAATGGTAAACATAACAGAGTTTGGCAGAAAACTGTCAATTATATTTCTGGGGGTTTTTAGGCTGCACCTTATTTATTTTTTATTCTCCCTGAAAAATCACTTATATGTTTTTTGAAGCCTCACTTGTTTGTTAACTGAAGCCTCACTTATGTTCATTGAAGCCTCATGTATTTATTCACATTTAAGACTCAATTTATGTTCATTCAGGCCTCTCTTCCCTGCTATAAATGCACTATTTTTATTTCAGCTGTAAGGCGGCTTGGTGATTTGAATCTGAGGGAGGACGCACTGTCTCATGGTCCAAAACACAAGTAGACAGAGTGCCATCCCTGAGAACAATCACTCCAACACCAAACTCTCTGAGATTTGGCTTCAACTGAATAAATCAAGTTGCTGTAGTTCAGCCTGTGTTTCTTCTGTTCAAAATTCTGATACCTATGGCACTACCCATCTCATAACAACTTGTTTATAATAAAAATCAGGTTAGTATGCACGCATTTTATATATTATTAATTTAAAATATCTAACAATCAAATCACACTTTCATTTGACAGTGTTCTTTATTGCCAACTAAACCATTTTATTCTCAAAATTTGGTTTCATACTTTTGATTTTCTCTGGCATGATAAATGATAATAGGATCAATAAAGTGTAAAAAGAAATTAAAAAGTACATGAGTATTGAAATCAGTAGTGACAATCTTTAATATGGAGGAGCAGGAGTCAATGTGCCTTTGAAGTCTGTAATTGCAATTTTCAGTAGTACATTAATTATACCTAACTATGAGATATTGATACATTTTCTTTGATTCGATTTGATTTCGTCCTTGTGATGACTCTATAGTTGATACATTGGTGATGAAGCAAGGGAGGACACACTGTCTCATGATAAATCTGTAACATGCTGACAGAATGACTTCCCTTGAATCAAACACTGATTTTGTTCGTTTTGAAGAAAATTTAACAGCAGTGTCGTATGATGTTAATAGCGTCTGATCTGGAAACAAGCAACAAAAAATGAGATACATGTAACTACAAAAGTAATGCTTAGCTACATTAATATTGCCTTTGTTATCAATGCAATTTAAACTTAAATGGTTGTTACACTTCACATAGATATATTTGCAATATCATTACAAAGAATTTTTCCTTTGAAATATCAACTGACATATTGATAATTACAAGATTAACTTATGTTTTTAAGCACTTTACTTTTGGTTAGCTCAGTCATTAAAATATACTTGCAGAGGTGAACATCTTGATAAAAAAATACGAGTCAAGACTTTGTGTCATTAACCGCGCGTTAACATTTTTTTTAATTAGCGTTTTTAAACAATTTCAATGAAATGACATGGACATAAAAGTTAAATTGGAATGTATAAACCTACATACTGAGACAGTTTAGATGGTTTTAACACTTGATAATTGTCTTCATAACACTTGTCTATTTTAATAGCCTAGTGCAGGACGGGTTACTGTCCTGTCGGCTCATATTTCGCATGTCTCAGGCCAAACTTTTACTCACCGTGCAGGTTAGAAAGAGGAAACTGTCGCATATTCGACACTGCCCCAGATTGGCTGACCTCCGTCTCGACAGGTCTGGTGAACCACAAGTTCTTGACCTGTTTGGTGACATACAAGCACTTAGTAGAACAGCAGGATTTCAGTCCAGAGAACAGATGTACACATAACACAAATGTTGTTTGATGCTGAAGATGAATATAAATAATTAATCTCACCTTTGAGTTAACAAAAAGTGATAGGAAAAAGTCATGCCTGTCTATATATCAGAAACTTCACACAATGGCAACTTTTGGGGGACACGACTCTTTGCGATGACTTCAGGGGTCAGTGAGCGTGATACCCAGGTCCTGTACGTCGCGCTTAAATGAAGTTTCCAAGCGTTAACACTCATAAACAAAGCTATGAGCCCTTCTGTCGGGTGCAGCAGTAACCTATTCACAAAAAAAAAAGAATAAAAATTGGTCATAAAATAAAGTTTTCTAATAATATGTACAAACAATGTGACTTCTTTTTTTTTAAACAAAAATGTACATTTTCAGTAAACTATAAGTTACTGAAGTACCTAGAAGAACGGAAACAAGAATATTTGCTTTAAGAAATCCAAAAGTAATTTTACCTATATTTAGACAAGTTAGAGTGAAATCGAAATTTCAATACCGCTTTTTTTTTATAATTTCTAAACTCGACATACAGATGGTTAGACAGACAAGATAAACTAACAGTGGCTTTTTTCCCCTTTCATGAGCTGCCCCCCCAAAAATAGGTAAAACATAATGGGAAAGCATTGGGAGGTGTCTCATTACACTCTTTCAGGAGGAAATAAAACATTGAACACAAAAGAATGCTGTTTTCTTACTTAATAAGTGCCCACCTTTTTTTTTTTTTTTTTTTTTTTTTTTTTTTGCAAAGTTCATAAATTAAGGTGAACGATTTCAGCAGGTAATCAGGAACAAAAAAAGGGAAAACGAAGGTAGCAGTCTATTATTTTTTAAATATCTTCTGAAACAAGAATTTACTTCAGTGCTCAAAGGGAATGATGGCCTTCAAAGTGATAGTGTATTGTAGGGCCAAAGTTTCGAATCCGTGTATTATTGTTATTTATTACCTTTTTTAAAAGATGTAGAAAAGTAGATAGTTGGACAAGAAGAGGGAACAAAGGAACACAGCTACTTTGGTTAATAATGTATTTTTAAGAAAATTAACCTTTTTGTATTCCCAATACTTTTTTTTTTTAAACAAATCGAACAAACTTTGATCAACTAATTAAACTAATTTATTCTATTCTAGTCTAGCAACACTATTGACTGAAAGTCCCAGGGACATGTCTCACCAAAGTTTAAGTAATACAATGATGATACTATTCTAGATGTCTGGATAAAGAAATGTGGTATGCATGGCCGCTTGGTTACCTATTAAGGGGGCTTGGCTACCTATAAATAGGCTTGGCTACCTATCAAGGAGGCTTGGATACCTATCAAGGGGGCATGACTTTCTATCAAGAGACCTTGGCTACCTATCAATTGGACCTTGGCTACCTATCAAAGGGACCTTGGCTACCTATCATGGAGGCTTGGCTACCTATCAAGGGGTCTTGGCTACCTATCAAGGGGGCTTGGCTATCTATGAAGGGGGCTCTAGTTCGACACCAGAGTTATGTTTACTGAGCGCCTGGCCTTAAAGCAAGACGGAAAAACTTCTCCCATATACCCCTGCCCCCTAACGGTCCATAAAAAGTGACTGGACAATAGCGTTGTGAGTATGCCATAGACATGAAGGTTGCGCTAATTTTAAATAAAAATGTGTTCCTGTCGAAATGTCCACATAAGAGATATCAGACAATAGAAAACAGCAATTGTTTAAAACTATTCGTCTAAAGAAGTCTGTTGTTTTAAATGAACGAATAGTAACTTTTGCAAGACTGGATTTTTTAAAAATATTATACCGAATCAAATAGTATAGCCTAATGTTTGTTTGTTTTGAAGAGAAAAAAACTATTTTTATTGAGTCCATTATAAAATTAAGTAAAGGCTCAAATGACTTAAATATTTTTTATTCCTCGAAGTATTTTTTTAAAATCTTTAATTAGCAACATACTGGCATCTAGTAATTTATAGTTTCCTTAATGGCCCATCAGTCATAGTGTTACAACAATGAAGTCTGAATGTACTGTCTCCATTTATAGATACATTCTCTAGAATTTTTTCAGATTTTGTTACAATAATGTTTCGAAGATTTTCTAATTACTATGTTTTGAGTTTTGGTCATTGACATATAAATGTGAAAATTTTTAATGCATGCTTTAGAATGAGGTTATGAACTTTACCTGTAAGGAAATTTTTTTGACTGATAGTTGTTGGAAGCATTGTCGATTGTACTTACTACGTCATGATAAATAAAGCGGTTCAGTAATGTATAGATCTATATATTGAATCCTGTTTCTTAACATCTTTTGATTTATTGTATTATTTGAATAAAACGTAATAAAGTGCACATAATTAGGTCGCAATGAACAAAGACTGTCTAGCCACGTGACAAGGGCTGGTCTTATTTATCAGACGCATAAAAAGCGTGCTGTTGTTGTTTTGTTTTGTTTTTCAAATTAATAAACAAAAAAAAATGCGGATTGTTTCCCCCCAAATTGTGACGCTTAAAAAAGAAAACTGACAAATTAGTTTCATTATATGCTCCTGAAAGGTCAATGAAGATTTACTATTGCAGGGGTAGAGAATAGAGTAGTGAATAATATACCGAACAAAATGAACAAAACATAAAACATCGGGTCTTTCAAACACGAGGCGTCAGATTAGAAAAAAGGGATACCAAAAACTAGGCATTAACTTTTTCTCTCGTAATTAGTTTTAAACTTTCTGAAGGAATTCTTCATTTTGCTCATTACTATCTCACTACCCCTGTTATGATTGGGCTTCAATAGCGTTGTTGTTTTTTATCAGAAAATGTTGTCCAGGTATAGAATTAAAGGGAAATGCATGCTCTTTTTATATAACACAAAGTCATTTTTAAAAAATTAAACATTAATTTAATTTATTGAGGTCAAATAAACGATGGTATCGTCGATTAGGACAGAAAGAGTTAAGGAAATATATAGTTTAAAGTAGTTCAAACCAAATGTTGTTTATTCTAGAGACAGAAAAATAAAATGTTTAGGGTGAGCCATGAAAGGGAGATGGGAGTGTTGTAGTCTATTTTCTTAGATATAAACCTGGGGGGGGGGGGGGGGGGGATGATTCTAAATACCAAGTGGATGGATGAAGCCTGAGATGACAATGGGTTTCTTTTAGACCTCCTGGAGTTATTATCCTATCTTTGTATAATAATCTCTTGAATTTTAATTATTAGTACTACAATTAATTATTTACTTGTGGTTACGTTTGTCTTTCGTGTTTAAGAATTATGAACTAAATTTATCCACTTTAATATGATAGTTGTGGCTAGTTCTTAGAGTGGGGTTTAACAATCCTCAACCCTTTTTAATCCGATAAAGTTGAAATGCTGTTTTGAAATTCTCTTTCTGTACATTTAGTACGTGGTACACTGCAAGCAGACTGCACTGGGAATTACTAGAACATTTGGTATCAGTTTAAGATCTATCACTGTCAATAAATACTGAAACAGGGAGTGCCCAACATTCTCTGACCACCAAATAGTATTTGGGATTGTACGTAATTTTAAATCTTTCTTCGCTGAAACAGAAACGTTAAAGGGAATATGTGTGTGTGAGAGAGAGAGAGAGAGAGAAAGAGAGAGAGTGAGAGAGGGAGTGAGAGAGAGAGTGAGAGAGTGAGAGTGAGAGAGAGAGAGAGTGAGAGAGAGAGTGAGAGAGAAAGAGTGAGAGTGAGAGAGTGAGAGAGAGAGAGTGAGAGAGAGAGTGAGAGAGAGAGAGAGAGTGAGAGAGAGAGTGAGTGAGAGAGAGAGAGTGAGAGAGAGAGAAAGTGAGAGAGTGAGGTAGTGTATAGGTGATGTAGGTAAAATAAAAAAAAAGAGTGACAGAAGAGAGAAAATGTTAGAAAGATTTAATGAATTATGACTAATTGATTAACTAATGGGTTAATTTTTCGATGCATTAATGTAATGTCAATGAATAATTGTGCGAATTTTGAATAGGAAGTTTGTGAAATAATAAGACATGATGGAATGACTGATTGAAGCACGTTGAAAAATAAGAGCTATTATGGGCCACAGAAGTTCTCCCCGAGAAAAAAGTCTTGGGTTAAGCGAATGTATAGATTTAGTACACCTTTTAATATTCCAATGATACGCATTTAGATCTAGACTTAAAGAAAATGTGCAAAATAGTCCTGAACAGTAACTCTTGAATCAATAAAGCCTAGACCTTCAAGAACGCGATAGTCCTTTAAAAACCGATGTAGGACCTAGACCTAGAT